TTGAATTCGTTAGGTTTGTCGGTATCAAGAAAGAAGTCTGTATTGGACCTGTGTAATGCTGTTTCCCCAGTTGTCTAGTGTGTCTTTAGCTTCATTTCCATCTTGACAGCTATCAGCTAATGGTGATCTGAAGTTATGTTAACTCCTCTCCTGGTTCTCACCTCTTCTATTGACCTTCTGAATTTTTCAGTGATACAGATGTGATATAACTGGTTCCGTTTGGTGTGGTTCGGTGAGATCTATGTAGCTTTGTGTATGCGATTGTGTGAAAATATTGTGCCTCCATAACCAACTTGTTGAATCCAGATAGATTTGCAAAGCTCTTGCCATTCTCCTTCATATCTCCTAGTCCATATCCTCATATGATATCCTCATACCCGATGTTGTCTATTCTGACTTTGACGTTTAGGTCCCTCTTCAAGATGTTCAGGTCTTTTCCTGATCACTTCTCTGTGACTGATTGCAGCATTTTTTTTCGTGAGCAGAGTACAACAGCATTTCTCCTGAATTTCTTCTTTTCTTTCCAGATTGAGTTCAACGGACTTCAATGATTCTGAGAACATTCAAGTTGTGTCTTCTCATTTCCGTAGCCATTTAACTGGTCCTCCCGGTCTGCCATATTGTCTGAACATTCCATGTATCTGTATTAATTGTTGCTGTGGTTGTTAGAAGGAGCATGCTCCTCATGACCTCCAAAGAATCTCAGCTTTCACCATGAGGCGTCATAACTCTACTGAATGAAGATCCTTCAACTCGGAGGGCAGAATTTAGATGGTTTAAATTGTTTATTCTGGTTAGCTTTGTTAGCAAGGTTGTTTCCTACGGGTTGGGGTTGCTGACCGGCAGTAACCCTAGAATAGCTATAGGGCGAGTTTTACAATAGGATCTTTTAAACGATGTGCTATTTTCTCGTTTCTTCGATAATAGGCCGATAATTAACTACTTTTCTGAAAGATTGTTGCCCAGTTACAGTCAATAAAATATCTGTTCATATAATATTTGACCAGATTCACTTCCTAGTCGTTCACTTTGAGGTATTACATATGACTTCTCTATGAAACAAATGAAGACATTAAATTTTACGTCCTTTTCTTAGGCTATTCATTACTATGTAAATGTTTATCATTTCTAAACTTTTCAGTGTTTGCATAAATACACCGAATCAAACTAAAACAATTTAATCCAAAATTAAATATTATTTGCTGGTCATTTACTGCTAATGATCCATCATTTTTACAAAATGATCGTTTGAAAAGGTCATTACTGAACCTCAGAAATTAATTATAAGCGTAGATTATTGATTAAATTATTCTATAGCAACTTCAAACTGGTAATAAAATACTGGCACTCGTAATAATGATAAAGATGACATTATTTTCTTTTTTTCCACTTGAATCTCATTTATTCAATTGACCTTATGGGGACGAGTTTTCGTATATTCCTTAGTCTGGTAAACACTATCACACCTAAAATACCATTAATAAACTGATTTAGAGAACTGGACTGCACAAATACTGAAAACTTTACCAGAAATGATTTGTTTTTTAATATTATTCAAAAACCCGGACAATATATTTCTAGTCATCAGATGTATTACAAAGAATGTTATGTACGCACGAAAAATTAATTTACCTATTAAGTTAAAAGAACTGAAACTGTCATCTTAGGAATTGAGTTACTTGAAACAAACATTTATTACAGTTTTTATACAAGATAAGAGGCTAATTATTTATTATTGAGCAACTCAGAAATTCATTCCACCACTGACTGATCCTCATTGACTTAAGTTGCTGCTACATATATACATCTCCATTTCATTTTCATTGTATTATCAGTATATTCTTTTAAGTGATTATATAGACAAAGATTAAGTCTCTTACAACTTTCATTAGAGCATATAACCCTTAAACACTTCAGAAATATTATAAATTTATACAGTAAACTAAAGCATATAACTGAAGGCTAAAAATGCTTTATGATTTTATATTGATGACACTGACGATATCTGAGTGCACATAAAAAGTAATATTCCCGAACCTCGTGTACCCTTGTGGTAGAAGTAGATGTTCTTCACAGGTATATGCATGCATCACTTATAAATGATATGATTCATCGCATATACATGTACGCATATGTCATTTACAGCTGATTTTGCTTCTACGAATTTCACCCCACAGGATAAACAATTAACAACATAGAAAAACTATTATTTGGTACGGCCAAAAACAATAACTGTTACATTTTATAGTCTTTTTTAATCAGCTAGTATCAAGCATAATAATAATAACAATAATAAATATATTTTTGTTGGATCCCAATGATCATAAAATTGGGATATAACAAAAAAAAAATATTTACCACTAACTTTCTACCTAATGTCCAAATTATTTGAAACTACCAAGTCCAACCTTGGTAGTGATACCTATAAACTCAGTAATTTTCAAGATAATTAGTCGTCAAACAGGTAGCATGGATTTATCTCCTGCAAACAGTTGGAGCTAATGCAATCGAAATTACCAAGGTAAGCCTTCAAAAAATGTCTGTTATTGTGTTTGTCTTTCTAGGTTTTTAAATTTTCTGTCTTACGTTTACGGTGTTTAGAGCTACAACCAGTTATAATTCTAAGATATCTAGCTATTTGTTTAAAATTAGATCTTCTCAATAACATAAATCATTTATTTTCTATATATGTTTTCCGATTCCATAGGCCGTATATACTATATCACTCTAGAATTGAGTGAAAATATCCATAATAAATAGTGATGATGGGCTCTTGAAAATGTTTTAAAACACATCTACTAAACTCCACTTATTAGATTGTTTTGCTTGCTTAAGTTTAAAATAGTAAATGGACCTATATCAATGATCCCCATCATCACAGAACAAATCTTTGTGAGTAATACAAATGATTTGCACGTTTCTCGGAATCTCTCTTGGACAAATCACATGTTTAAAAACCTTACAAATCAAACATATTACGTGAAAGATTGTAGAAATTTTTAGCAATAATGTATTTTTGTTTTTAACGCCACTAGTTTATTAGGCTAACGGATATATATTTTTGAAAACTCGTCTTGACTTACCGAATCATCATTAATTTAAAAACGATATGAATAATCTCTACATGAACCATGAAACGTTTATTTTAATATGAAGTCATTCGCACAAATCCGTTTTTTTTTTTGAATATTTATGAGGTGCTTCATTTTAATCATATTTCAGTGATATATTGTTAAAATTATTTAATTGACAAGGAAAACCAATTTCGTATGCCCAGTATTTGAACAAAACATTTTTCTATTATAATCAATCATTATGTATTCAAGGAATGCTATTTATCTACCTCAAAGATAAGTGAATGTTATAAGGAGATTCTCATATTCCGTAGATAAAGAAATTCATATTTCCAAAATAATTTTTCATATCAGTAGATATTAATATTTGAGATTTGATGGTACCTCCAATCCATTCAACGTGAGTATCGGTCCGTCTTTCTATCTCAGCAACATATTACCAAAACACATCTATGGCTCAAGTTCAATAATACAGTCGAAACCGAATTTGTCCAGCAGCAAGAAGTGGTAGAAGACGAAAAATACAGAGTTCGAGCACTTCTTCCATATATGTATGGGCCATCCTTAACTGCTTTCTTAGTAAATCTGATATCGCATTTCACTACTTAGAAACTATCTTTGCACTCAATAATGTGGGTTTTGTCTATATCAACTTTAGGATTTTCATTAACAATTAATTCCCTTATATTTACTCATGCATAAGGTAATACTCATCATTTTTATGCTAATAATTTTTGAATAAACCTTGGTCTAATATTTGTCTCTGATTATTTCGTTTTACAAGCAGTCGAGAATAAAACATACTTAAATTGAATCTTTATTTAATTAGTTGTATAGCTACTGACTATTTATTCGACACTAAACATCAAATTAAACTTTCCCTTTTTGTTCTTCTGCTGTAAAATGTTTCGTTTTCTTTTTTTCAGCTACATGGTCTGAATACTTTTATTTATGGTTTCATATGAATAGCTTGGTACTTAATCAGTAGTCTTTGTGCAGCAAAAGTGGACACAACTCAGAAGCTGATATAACTGCTCATTTTAAAGGTATGCATTTCATGAAAACTTTCGACACGATATAATATTCTCTCTCCTCTCAATAACACTTGAGCTCACCTGATGACAGCTAGGTAAAACAATTGCCATCTCATTCTAACTTAATTAAACGCATGATGATATGTAGTTTAATGAAATTAATTCGAGATTTTCTGGAGTTTACAAACAATCACCCGTATTCTATGTCATTTCACTAATGCAAACTTGTTGATTTATATGTGCATATGTTTAAAATACGCATCATTTAAGGAGTTAACTGAACTAACAATGGAGGATGGACTGACATTAGAGAAGTTGACTTATTGAAAGGTTTTTAAATATTGTAGCATATATCCAATTAAAACTTGTTGATATGTCAAAGGCAAGGTGCAGTTTGGTCGCAGCTATGAATTCAAATAAACTAAGCGATGAAGCACACTACTACATCACGTTTCTGAAATGTGAGATAAAAAGTAATCTGAAACAGTTATTCATCTTAGCTTCATTTTTCTTATAATAATAAGAAAAGCCTAACCCTGAAGAGCCAAACTTTCAGCAAGCTTTCGTGATACTCACATAACTAGTGGCCCTTAATAGCATAAAAAGCAGTTCTTTGAACTCTTCGAGGACTAATCAATTTTAGTATTATTATAATTTTAATTTACTGGTACAATCCAGCGTACTTAGCTTAAGTAAATTGACCTGTGCCACTGGGTTTTTTAATGTGGAAAAGATATGATGGATGCAAGTGATCATTATGTTTTGCCCTATACAGTGCGTTCATAGGCGACCTGCTTTTCATTATAAGTAGATAATATGTACAGAGAGATTTGTTAGTTAATTATTTCACAGGTTTTAAGTCTTGCGAGCTGATAAGCACATAAAGAAAATATTTTTATCTGAGTTATTATTTACTTGGTTCATTTTACAAATAAATTTCTCACAGGCATTAAATGAACATCCTATTATGTTGTTTTTAAAAATTTGCATGTATTTGTCAATGCCTTCTCTCAGGATTAAGAAGCAGCTACTTTTTGTTGAACTGGAAGATACAATTTGAACTCTGGGGGTAGCTCGCTTTCTGAATACAACCGATCACAAAAGTAGACTCTGCGTATGCGACAGTTGGCATGAATCTAAAATACAAAAACCACTATATTTATATCTTTATAAACATAGACATTTTAGAGCAAACAAATTTGACATCAATGATAAGTTTATTGCAGCCAGCTACAAGACCCCTCAATGAGTACTTAACTGTCATCATATTCAACAGTTCAAGAAGTTGAATGATATTACTAAAGACTGCTAACAAAAAATAAACTTAGACTCCGTCTCCCCTCACGATATGGAAGTCTCCTGTCATTCAATATCTTTCACACTATATGTTTATCGTTTTTATTGTTTTTCATGTTTATTTAATACCCATTCTTTGACAATACTAACGTGAAACTTGTTAAACCCTGTATTAATGACGTTCATCTGTAAAGCCTCATTTTGTTCTATGAATATCACTGACACCAATAATGAATACAACACAACTCAAAGTGGATTCCAATTACTATTCGCCAAAGATGGCATATTCTGCCAAAGAGATCCATATATATATATATATATATATATATATATATATATATACAAAGAAGAGCTTTAAGTAAATGAAAAGTATCGTCATTTAGATTATTTGTCTATTCTGCGTTAGGAAAGCGACAATTTAGTAAAACTTTAATATCTTGGTATTCAAGAATAGTGACGATTTTATAAAGTACAATCCTTTGAGCTTATTTCTAAACTCATAATAACATATTACTTTCATTATGAATCTTTGTAGTGTTGATTGATTTCCAGAGTGATCCGACAACACTGTTTGCATGATATGACCAGTATGAACTTAGCCCTTTTACTATTCAAAGATTCTTAATGACAACTTCTGAAATCGGGGTAATTTGAACCTCCGTAATCTTACAGTTTAACACCATAAATTCACTTGTTAACGAATCCAAACAGACCCTTAGTCGTACGATGCAAAAAAGGAAACACCATTATCAATCAAATATAACTACTAATTGATAATATCTTACTATTTTGAACTTCATATTAGAAAGATACTTGTTGAAAAAGTCTGCCTTCTTTCTTAATCCAGGAATAAACCAGCATAAGAGGACGGCAAAAGTAATATAACTGTACTTAAACTTCATCAGCTACCAACTGATGTGTACTGAACCTGTTGATGATGATATGAAGCACAATACATAAGTGTTAGCGATACGCTTGTGCTGATCCGAGAAAAACTGGGGTATACTTTATTGTTTTTTATAAATTACATTTTAAATAAATTAGCTTAATCAGTTAGCAAAAATAACTCCTATCAAAGTTATCCATTAGCGCAGACTATAATGAAATTAGAGAATTACCTCAAACTGCGTTTAGCAAGTCTGTTTAGCAAAGGGGCAAACTATTCGTTCATCAGGCCACTTGATCAAGCTTAGAAGTATCTTTAGACAAGTTACTAGAGATTGTAATTGGCTAAAAACAATAATAGCAACTTCAGATGAGCTATCTTTTTGTGTCAAAAAATGATACTAAGATCATCCAACACCGCAAAACGCATAGTATTAGAGATACAATGAGCAAACTTTTAAACATTAATACATTATGTTGGCACTTAACAACGATTATATATTATTCGTGTAGGTTGATATGTGAAATTCTTTAGTTTACATCACGAACTTATTTTATCTAGGCCACCTTTGAAAACCAGGAAAGATTGTATAGCCGTTTGTCCTATCGTGAAACTTCCCAGCAGTGTGCATTCAGAGCCCCTCATATGTACATAGACCTCAGGAGCTGCAGGATTTAAGACATGAAAATTTGCGTAACAACAAAAAATTGACAATCTTTTCAAATTGTTAAACATTGGTCTGCCATAAATTTATGTCATCCATTAACGCATTGCATTTACAAATAATGAATTTGAATAACTGATATTGTCCTGCAATTTCTCTTGTTGGGATGCTTAAAATTTCTGAATGCTGTTAGTCATTTCTTTTTTACAGAAATTATTTTGATGATTTTAGATGTTGAAGGTTATTTTTACTGTAATTAAATATACGGCTAAATATAAACATTTTCAGAGATAACTTAAAGATTTTGAGCAAACATTCCAAGCTCTGAGCTCAGATTCAATTGTTCAATATATTCTGGATACACAAGAAAAAATAGGCTGGGTGGCTTCAAGTCCTAAACTATTTCTCTGAACTACGATTGCTCACTCGCGTTCGTAAATACATTATTAGTTCTCAACAGAAAGTACAAGCTGCTGTCTAAATGCTTTTGGCACAGTGTTGAAATTGCTGTGCATGAATCATATTATTTGTCTAGCTAGCCTTTAGGCTAGCTTATCAATCGAAAATACTTGTACAAAAATTGTATGATTATTAGTTCTCTGAGTGTTTTACATACATGAAAAGTTACCACCAAATTTGTCAATATCCAAATAATCTAGAAGATGGTAACATTACACAAATTTAAAAGTAAAACAGTTATCGAGGGGATAACTAGGCTCCTATGTAACTGTCTAATGAGATGCAAATTCCTTAATGGTTTGAATCTCCACAAATAACATTGAAATTAACTTATACCACTAGAAAGGTTCATTTGAATCAGCGACGAAACTAGTTGCAAAGTCTGGTACGTATATATGACATTAATTCACACTAGTGTTTTTCAATATTTAGCTGCAATTTAACGTCAACCTACAACGGAATATTGAGTAATCTGACTACGCAAAACTGCAGAAAACATCAGTTTTTTTAGTAAATCATCATTCGTCGTAAAATAACATAAAATGGCTTTAGTGGTAAAAATTAATACTATGGTAAAATTTTAAAAGCATTAAAATCAACAAAGATCTATGGCCCAGGACTTAAGTTACATCTAATCTCATATCTTCTGACGTTGAAAACTGTGAATCCGAAAATGCATGTTTTATAACAATAGCTTCACTAACCGTTTTCATATACTAACTACTAATGCTACTGATAAAATACTCACTTGTACTCTCAGCGTTTCGACGTAATTAGTTCCATAGGCGCGTCTTGTGAAGTCACAAAGGTTAAACTGAATTTGGTTCCATCCTTCATCTAAGCGCATTGGCATGGTACAAATAAAAGGTTTTACACGAGTGGTACTCTGATAATTGCTAGCTCGAAATCTCCGTCTAATTTTCTTATCATCTAAAATCTGGGAAAAAGAGTCAGCATGAAACACTCGTTTTACAAACCAAGACTTCAAAGGTGAAATACTTCTTTAGATTCTTAATAATCATCACAAGGAATGGTAACTTAATGCCTAAACTTCGCTTAGGTTCCGCCGGACAAGTGATGAATGTGGTGCTGAAATCAATGAAAAATTCGAAAAGAAAAGCACCTGACGTTAGTTCCCATCAGCTCTAACACAAGTGACTGTATATCATTGTCTGTTATTCTTTTTATATGTCCATTCATTACCTAGTATCCTTCGTGAGTTAGAAATTTTAAACTACGCTTTTATCCCATATCTGAAGAGGTTTACTGCCAACACTGTAAAGTATTGAAAGAAATCCACTTTGAAATGTATTCTTGAACATTTTCACTCCGACGGCGAGTTTTACAAACACTCTCTAAAAACGTTGCTTATAACAACAAATAAATTCACCTATTTAAACAAAATGCGGTTCCAGTTTCACTTTTAAAAAGAAAGGGTGGTTGTTGGTCTTTGTTGGTCTTGATAATGATTTTCTCTCAGTTGATTGAGTTTTCTTTTGAGAACGTCGACAGATAGAGCTTCAACCATGTGTTGAGTTGATTAATTCCACTCGTTTATGATTCCATGGGAAAGTCGATAGTCAGCTGACAAGTATTTTGTTCTGGGCTTCTGAACTTTTTTGGAGTGTCCTAGTAAAGTCTCTGTCTCAGGAAACAAAATAACGAGGTTACATCATGATCAAATTTCTCACTAAGTAATAATACGGTAATCGGGTGATCTCCAATTCTCCGATATGACAACAGGAACAGGTTTAGTTTAGCCAGTCGACCATCATACAGGAGCCAGCTTCGATTCTGTTCTCTGAACGTTTTTTCAAAACTTTACTGTCTTTTTTAAGCAGGGGCTAGCGGCTTGCATTCAGTATTAAACTTTAGGACGCACGTTTACTGCACACAAGGTCAAAAAAGTTTTAGCGTCCACATGATTAAAGGACATACGTATTGTCCATAGGGTTCTAAAACCTTTGGCGGCTGCCGTACGGCAGTGTCCAGTAGTTTTTAAGTCTTGGTTAGCAGTGACTTAAGTCGTTGTGTATTTGAACAACAAGTAGCTCAATGTTATTCATTATGTATGTATCTTTGGTGACATTGAACCCTAATCACACAATCCTCTAAGCCGAACACGAGACAACTGGGAAACTAGATATTCAACATTTAACACGGAGAAAAACCCAACGATGAAGGAGGCGGGAGGAAGGAATCCGATAATTCAATTGATCGATCGGATAGCATGGCTCGGCCATACAGGTGTGGTCACTCTTGAGTGTTGTCTTATATCTTTTGTTCATATTAAATATGTTGTTCTTTATCTGGCCTAACCTTCTCCATCATGTATTGGCAGTTGTCACGATGCAGTGAGTTGGTGTAGATGATAATGTGACTTCCACGTAAGATTTTATAGATTAGGTAGTTACATCATGGTAAATCTACAAGTTTAAGACTAAGTCTATCATTAGGGTACTACTAATAACGAAGTAGACCATAATTCTACATTGGTAAGCCCGACTAAAGAAACGCAGCCTATTACTACTATTCCTTACTTCCACTTTAACTTTGTCAATCGACTTTTACTTATTTAAATCCAATATTCTATTATTCGTCTGACTGGTGATCACTTGAGGGCGCGGGCTTCGGACTGGACGTTACTTTCAGGCCGAGGCATTCAGTTTTCTTTTTCTGCAATTCTCGCAGAGCTGGATGTGTTATTTTTTCTTAGAATTATGGAAGATAACTCAAATCTGAAATATTAATCTATAAACTGTGAATTTCGTGCTATATGATAAGATCCAAGTTTAACTTATACATGGTATTTATGATCATATTCATACAATAATTCATAATTATATAGTTACATATATTCATTTTGGTTATACGATAAAACCATGCTCTATCGTTTCAAAACCATATATAATCATATTCGACGAAGAAATGCATTTCACATCTGTATTCTATTCCTTGAGGAATATATGGTAATGTCGTGTTTGGATGCTTTAACCTGTGGTGGTCGGTATCCGATATAATCCTTAACTTCGTATACAATTCGTCTTGCTAACCGTTCTGTATAACGCCCCAACGGTATAATAATCAGAAGGCAAATACGAAGTGTTGATTACGTTTATTGCGAGACCACACACATATATCCAAATGTACAAATGCGTTAAATAAGCATAGAAGAGTTGTGCCGAAAGGCAAGCAAGCGAGCGATGGCCAGAGCAAGAGCGTGATGAGAGCGTGTGAGCGAATGTGTGAGTGAGTGTTCAATATGAATAACATGGACATATATATACCACGTGAAATGAATGGGTAATCGAATCGAATAAGCGGTTAGTAGTAAGACTAGCAGACTGAATAAATGCGTAGGCAGTAATCAATATTCAAGCATACGTATTTCATGCAAGCACAAAATAATAAGGGTACAATAAATTGTTATAGTACGGATGGCTTTGTCCGCTAAATAAGTTAGCAAAAGGGCTTAACTGAGTTAAATGAGAATAAACCCATTTGCACGTGAGTCGCTATAAACCCACGTACTTTATGTATCTACAGGATCTGTTCAAATCTCTACCTGATATCAAGATATATATATAATCGTGTGTGTTCAATCACCGTACTCACTATTTTATGAACTATCATTTAAATCGTATTTGGATACTATAACTCATTTAATTTCCGAAATTACCTGTCCAATTCTGTGAGTCTGTCATTTTTTTGACAGTATTTCTATCCAGAAAGCTGTTGTATATATTTGCTCATAAAGCAACATAATAAGTTTAGACAGTAATCATCTTTTAAATTACTTATCTCTGCACCTCCCAATTTTTACCAATGCGGACTTTCAGTTTATATATGTATCACGTACCGTGCTCACTTTGATTGTTTGATACTAATTATAGACATTTCTAAATTACTTTATTATATTGTTGAGTCGGCTTTCAGAGAACTTCAACGGAGCCTCCAGAGGCCCGAAAGGAGCCGATGAGTCCTAACCAATCAGAACATGATGAGGCATTCTAGAATTCCAACGCGGCGTGTTTCTATTGGTCAGTAGCATGATATGTCGTTAACGGATTGTTCGAAATATGATGTTGATTTAACAAACGCTAACATCTATAAATACCAATGTTTTCTGTACAAAAAACGAACCTTGGAGTAAAGTGTTCCTCTCATACTTTACGCCTTCTTTCTGGTGTTCAGGTCGCTGTATAGTTCTAGTGTGCGGGTTATCAGAACAGCTTGGGAACGAATATAGCGTCCAAATCAGTAAGACATAACATATATAAGGATATCTTTTGTTGTGGGAGAACTGAAGACATTGGACTGATAAAAAACTTTATTTTTAAATATTATTAATTCACTGTTTTTAAGTGTAATTGTTTTATTGAACTCCTGAACGTGTTTGTTTATATCACTATTTTTTGGAAATTTTGGTGCTCTCTTTGTTTTTGGTTTGGTATTTGGGATTTTTTGCTCCGGGAACCTATAAAATTGAAGGTTCGTTTTGCGATTGTTATATTTATTGTTGTTAGAACGACATTGGTCGATTATTTGTGAATTGCGAATAAACTTGGTATCTATTTTGCCTCCACACAGATACTGACATAAATACCTCATCTCCACTACTATCTTCCTGCCATTCTCATCTCTTGTTTTTGACACCTTCACTAATCCTCACGATACATTCACTCTTGGTTAAAACATAGGTTATGACTTCCAGACGAACTTGAGCCCTCGGAATTGATTTTTTCACCCCTATTTCCAACATTCTGTTCAACCCATCTGCTATACGTCGCTTTCTTATCATGCCACAAAAGAGAATGAAGACCCCTGCTTTTAGGCGTCCAGTCAAACGTAGGAAAACGACACAATCTAACACTTCTACTGACACGATTTCCGGCAGTTTGAACGAGACGAGCTACTCCGTTCATCCGGAAGCAGATAAGCTTTTACCAGTTGTTTCCATTCTAGACATGTTGAAGACTGTTGGTAAACAATGATGGTAATCGCAACTGCAACCATATGGGTGATATAAAAAAGCTGCAAGTAGACATGAACATTCTCAATCTGCTTAAATATATCATTAACCCCAACCTCACAGAGACTCCAGATCAAATGAATGACAGAAATAATTTCCTAGATCGTGTTACATCAGAGGTATTTAAAAGAATAAGACGATCCGATAGTGCACTTGTGTTCAATATACCGGACACATATGCCCTTAAAAATATCAAATCTAGTCTGCTTAGAGCCAACAATATGACACATGTACCATGTGTATGCACAAGATTAAAAAGAAGTCACCCTGGTATACACTCACCGACCTTATTCAAATTCAACTCATCTGTAGACGCCAGTGAGTTTTTAACTTTCTCCAATTCATTGAGACAAAAACAGATTTTCAAGGATATTAAGACTCTTCCGGATAAAACACCATGCCAGCGAAAAGCAGGAAGAGATAGCTACAGACCACCAGCGTCAAACTCTCAAATGCATCATAATCCTAATGGTTGTAACGTTAAGTCCGATTCTAAGAGGACGTCTAGCTTAACAACTTTGCCGCCACCGAAAAACTCTTCTGAATCTCATAAAGTTCAAAACCCAGAAGAAAGTAATCCCGATGTAGATGGTGTCCATCCTCTTAAGAATGTTGACTTAGATTCAACCTGAAGTAGTTGTGCTGATGACGAATGGGATAACACAGTCCAAATCCCTGTTAGTGCAACACCCAGTTACAGTAACTGTGCAACGGATAACAGGAAAACTGATCATCATATTTATATAACTGACCACACACTTAACGTCGATATATATTCGAACCTCGTAATCCACCGTAAAAATGTTTAACAGCACACAATTCTCCCCAAATTATGAAGAAGACAAAACTAACCACAAACCTTGGAAATAAAAATCTGGAACATGTTATCCATACGTCAGATAAAATAGTAATCTGAATTGTAAATAGCCGCTTGGTCGCACACATAGACCTGATAGCCTTCTTGCTCCGGCTCCCGATATGTACACTATGCCTTTATCAGATGCTATATCCAATAGCAATGAGAAGAATTTTTTTGTAATTCCGCCGGCTTTCTGCCGGCAAAGTGGTTGAATCTATTTCCCCTCGCAGCACAACTCTTACCTTAGCCAATCCTACGAGTATTCATGGAACTACCAATTGCGATTTATACTCCAACCTGCTTCACTATGATAACTCTGAGTTTCTTATTCTTTCGTTCAATGCCCGCTCTCTGTCCAGTAAAATCATTAATCTTAAAACCCTTTTATTCCTTGTGAATCCAACCATTGTACTTATTACGGAAACGTGGTGTAATTAATCTATATCCGATCATTCCTTGAATGTTTTCTTTAGAAC